GGGTCAAGTAAACACCATTTTGGAAACTACAGTTCAGAGGAATGAAACGAAGCATCGTCCCAGGTATCATGCTCACTCACCGATATCGTAGCCCGCATTGCGTGCATACCTCTGGAGGCTTTTGGCATACAAGTCGATCCTCTGCGTAAGCTAAAAGATTGGGCAGAAGAACTGCTTGTTCACGGGATGAAACGCAACCGCATTCACAGTTACATGTAAATTTAGTTGCATCGAACAAGTAAGCATTTGTCAGAGTGTGATCAGTAATATCAACAGCTTTGGGACAATTCACATTGTGCCCAAGAAATGAAAAGCAGGAAAGGTGCAAAACACATGAGAACAGGCACAGAGGAGAGCTGAGCAAGGGCCGTGGTGGAAGTTACAGTACAATTAGCGGGAAACAAAACAGCACACCTTCCTATGAACGCGATTCACTTTACACGCAGCACGTTTAGTGGCAAGGTCGACGAGGAAAACCAACCGCACATCAAGAGCACCTCAAGTCCCCTTGAGCTCATCGAATGTGCCTCTGATACGTTTCGATTCGATCATGCCACGCACCCCAGACTCCGATAGGGCAGACATGAGTGGTGAGAACAATGGTGTTACGACTCTTATCCGCCAATTCGTTTCCATAAGTTTGCGTTTGTCTTTGAGATTGCCAATAAAGACTCGATGTCAGACAAATGCTTATTTGGAGTCTTAAAAGGGGCATTTGAAGACACTTTTCGCAGAGTATTTTTGCAGCCAGACAAAAACCCATGTTAACATATACCACATGTTTAACCGGCATTACGAATGAGTCGGTAAATGTGTTCGAATTGAAAGAATAGTGTCCGATCCTACTTGATGATTATAACATGGTGTCGTGGTCAGCATTTGCGCCGCTGATAGCGAAAAAGGGTAAATTGAAGGAAACAAAACGGTAGAGAAGTGGCATAGCCTTCTTACCCTGAAACCCCAGTGATCACGAACCTGCCGGCAGAGGTTCAAATCCACCTCAGCAACAAGCAGACCATCAGAAACACGGTCGAGGCCCTAGAATAAAGAGCTAACAGTTTCAGTCATTATTCCATTCAAAATTATGACAATGACGCCGTACAAGCTAAACTATTTGACAATGAGTCCTCTGACTCTCCTTAAGTGAGAGGAAGAACAGCGTCTCCTAGAGCATGCAAAGGTAAAATCAGCCATTCGCCCCCCCCCCCTTTAACGCAAATGAAGCGACCATTTTAGGCAGAAATTAAGGACTTCCCCATAATGGTGCAATATCTAGGGCATGGATACAAAGCTTTTTAAACGAGACTTACGGGAGTTCGAACACCATGGGGACCAGTGACATAGGTAGAGCCGAAAAAGTGGCCAAATGTCCTATGGGCAGGCTTGCCGTCACCGCTTGTAAATTCATTCGGGAATTCCTCCTAGAGTTGCAACAAACCATCTACACTCTGACTACCGTCCAGAGAGAAGTAGCTTGCGCCTAACGTCTATTACTCCCCACTGCTAATGCAGCCATTGTCAGTTGTCGCAAAAGTTTTGACCAAATATATGAAAAAATGGTTAAAAGGAGGCGGCAAATTTGCCTTCTAAAGGCGCAGAGTGATGTTTGCATCGACTTAACTTTCCAGAAGCTTTTTTTCTCCTAATCAAGTAAAAAAACTACTAAATGACACACGCAATCATTATTAAAAAGAGCAGCATTCAGAGCCCATTAATGTGACAGTTCCCATCCCAAATTTTGCCAATATCACAGAGTCATTCGCAAAATGCGATAATGATACACCATTCTACCATACATCGCTAAAACCTGTCGCCGAACCTACCGTCCCAACACGGTTGATCGCAACGGTGAAGTAGTTGTTTGCAATGGCGGCGTTTCGCGCTTCGATTGGCCACAGCGATTCGCTAAAAATTGTTAAAACCCAAAATAGATTTTTGGCATCCATTTTCCTTCTTGCCGTTGATCAATTACGAAGCGTCTACGCGACCCATCTTATTTGCTCCCGTGTTATTTGATGAAATTTGAATGGCAAAAAGCGCAACACTCGTTCCCAATCACGCAATTACAAGCGGTCGAGACACTTCGAAGGTGAGAGGAAGTTCGCTCTAGCCAAGAATGCTTGGGATCATTGGGTGGTTCTCCTGTCTAAGTGGCGGGTGCTAGAGCGAGAGACTGGGTGTGACCGCTAAGTTAAATGTGCACTATTCACTTGATGCAGGTCTATAGTCCAGGCAACTCCGATGTGATGCTTTAGTTTATACAACCCAGTTGTAAAGTTTATGTGCATCGAGTACCCATCCGTAAAGTGCGGCATTGCTATGTGCAAAGGGTGAGGCGGAAAACCAAATCCAAAGCCGGGCCAAATAAAGACTGCAGGACGTACCTTAGACCATCAATCGTTGCACTGGGATTAAAGACGATCTCAGCACCGTTCAATCCATACATCATCCAGTTCTGTGGGTGATGACGACCATAGCAAATGTTGATTGCAATCTTCCCTAAATAGGAAAAATCGCTGCGACTGTGTGTGCATGTTGGAATGAAATGGCAAGGAATAGTTAACAGAATATTCCATTTCAATGGCAGTATTGGTCGTGCTTTCACTATTCTTCAACCGTTCCCCACCTCAACGCATGTAAATTATGCTGAGGAGTTAGAACCACGGACCGAAGCCATGTCACACCTAGGCACGCATTTTCAAACTACCGTACAATCGGAGACGTATATTTCCACCCTCTTATGGCACGAACCCACTTAGCGCAGATTAGAAAGAACTGAAGTAGTCCAATTAGAACCTTCCTTGTTAGGAGGATGAATCCTGAATGTCAACAGTTAGTATTAGTGTGGATGTTACTGCACTTTAAATTGACGAAAGCGCATAGGAACATGAATAGGAAAAAATGGGCTGTTTGGGAGCCCTCGGCAGACGGCTGCACAAAAAACGATACAATTTGTGCAGTCTACAACACTGTAGTTACAAACCGAGACCCGCGTCTCGGTAATAATAAGGACTAAAAGACGGTTTTATTAGACTGCTGTGCTGGTGCACAAGACTCCTCTAGCAAATATTGCCTTTTTGGCGCCTGATGGATATTTTACCTCAAACAAAACGGCAACCTTCAATGAAATAGCACAGTAGCAACCGAACATGGTAGGCCAAAAAAAGGACAAGATATAAAACCATGCAATTGACTCACCATATATGGTATCAAACACCGGATGACCAAGGTTGCTTTCCATGTAATAAGTAGACTAAACGACCGTCGTCTGTAAATTTGAAGTGAACAAAACCCACCTCATTAAAGTCTCCGACTCTCGGAATGTGGTTCTTCCTTGATTTGCCCAGGAACTTCCCACCATGGTCGATAACTACTGCGTTTGGAGGTAAGTACTATGGTAGTACACCCTACCAGCCGTGTTCCAGATAACCTCACTAAATTCGTGATCCCGCTCCAGGATGGGTGATACGATAACCATAGCATACCTCTTCGCGTACTAACATGCAGTGTGATAATTTGCATTGACTCACTTGGGAAAGAAACTTTATGGTTGGTCCATTCTC